CCTGACCAAAAAATCCACCACCCTACTCTGTAAATAAGCATTAAGGAAGGTTTTATAGTTGTACTTATTTACATAATGTAAGGAGGGTGGGAACCAGAAAATATATTTCCATCCTCCTTCCAGGAACTAAGCCGGTCCTTCAGTAATGCCTTCTGGGAGACAATAGAATCAGAAAGTTGGAAGGGAACTATAAAGTTTTCAAATCCAACCCCCTGCACACTATAGAATTTACTAGGCCATCCCCAATAGAGGAATATCTAGACTGTTTAAAAACTTCCAAAGAAGGGGAAGAAATCACCCCGTACACTAATCTATTCCACTAATTGACAGCTCTTATTTTCAAGGAAGCTTCTTCCTAATGTCTCATCTGCATCTACACATCTTTGTAGTTTCATCCCATTAGTTCTACCCTTACCCTGTGGAGCAAGTGAGAATAGGTCCAAACCTATTCAATAATTGTCTTTGTTATGGTGTCCAGAAATTAAATTAGGCTCCGACTGCAGCACTGTAGCAAATTTAGGTGTCAGTTGCAGCTGTTTTCTGTAGCAACATGCTTGTTCTGGGTTACAAAATCCAGATTATATTGCAGCAACTACCACATTTGCCTTTCCTCCTGGGAGGCTCAAAATATAGATTCATCTCAGGACCAGGTGAGTCTAAATCATTCATCTGCCCTACAATGAAGATCAAACTAAAGATCTCTTTTCATCTCTGTGAGATTAGTGGCTGAGAGAATGTCTGATTCAAAATCACCAGTGACTTTCAATGGCTAAAGGTGTGCTTTAACTAAATATATTAAATAGAATAGAGCTGGAAGGGACCTTGGAGGTCTTCTAGCCCAGCCTCCTGCTCAAGCAGGAGAACTATACCATCTCAGACAAGTGACTGTCCAGTCTCTTCTTAAAAACCTCCAGTGATGAAGCACTCACAATTTCCGGAGGAAAGCTGTTCCACTGGTAATTGTCCTCACTGTCAAGAGGTTTCTCCTTAATTCCAGGTTGCTTCTCTCTTTGGTCAGTTTCCAACCATTGTTTCTCGTCCTTCCCTCTGGTGCTTTGGTGAATAACATGACCCTCTCTTCTTTGTGGCAGCCCCTCAAATACTGGAATATTGCTATCATGTCTCCCCTATTCTTTTCTTTAGACTAGCCAAACCCATGTCCCACAGTCGTTCTTCATTATGTTTTAGTCTCCTGGCATTTGATCATCTTAGTTGCTCTTCTCTGAATTTTTTCCAGACTCTCAACAACTTTTTTGTGACATGGTGACCAAAATTGGCTGCAGTATTCCAAGTGGGGTCTTATTAGGATTTTATAAAGCGATACTAATACTTTGTGTGATCTTGATTCTATGCCTCTGTTTATACAACCAAGGATTGTATTAGCTTTTTTGGTTACTACTGCACACTGCTGGCTCATAGCCAAGTGATCGTCCACTAGGACTCCAAGTCCCTCTCACAGTTACTGTTTTTGCCCAATCTGTACTTGTACCTTTGGTTTTTCCTGCTCTTCTCCACACTGAAACTCATTTTGTTGGATAGGGCCCATTGTTCAAGTTTATCAAGACCTTTTTGGATCTTGAGTTTGTCTTCTGGGGTGTTGGCTATTCCTGTCAGTTTGGTGTCATCTGCAAATTTGATGAGTTCCCCTTCAATTCCCTCAACTAAGTCATTTATGAAGATATTGAAGAGTACTGGGCCTAAGACGGAACCTTTGGTACCCCGTTGCTTGTGGATGTGGTGCCATTGAGGACTGCTTGTTGAGTACAGTTTGCCAGCCAGCTACAGATCCATCTGATGGTGATGTTGTCTATTCCACCTTTTTCTAGCTTACCTAGGAGTAGGTTTGGTCTACTTTATCGAATGCCTTACTGAAATCTAAGTATACTACATCCACAGCATTTCACTGGTCTACTAGTTTAGTCACTTTATCGAAGAATGAAATAAGATTGGTTTGGCATGATCTGTTTTTAACAAACCCATGCTGGCTACTAGTTATAAATTTGATTGCTTCTAGTTGTTTGCAGATCTGTTTTTTGATTATCTTTTCTAGGATCTTCCCAGGTATTGATGTTAAACTGATTGGTCTGTAGTTTCCTGGGTCTGTTTTTTTCCCTTTCTTTTTTTTTAAAACAGGTTTTATTAATTTTTCAAATTTTAACATCCAGATACTTAGGAAGTAACATGGTGCTAGGGCACAGGTCGGCAACCTGCGGCTCCGGAGCCGCATGCGGCTCTTTGAGCCTTCCCCTGTGGCTCCCAGCCTCCTCTGCCTTTGCAGAGAGAGACAGAGACAGAGGGAGGCAATTGCACTTCCCTGCTTCTCTCCCCCTCTCTCTCTCTCTCTGTGTGTGTGTGTGTGTGTTTTGTGTGTGTGTAAAAGAGAGTGCACTCACAGTGTTCCCCGAGGAGCTGAAAAGCTTTCTGGGCGGAGCTCCTCCCTTTGCTGCGTCTCTGAAGGAAGCAGGAAGCAGGAAGGGCAGGAGAGAGCTAGCTAGCCCAGCTAGGCTGACTCAGGAATTCTGGGAGTTGAAGTCCATGAGTCATAAAAGAGACGAGGTTGCATACCCCTGATCTTGTTGGACAACAGCCTGAAGCTTGCCAGGTGAGCAGCAGATAGGAGGGGAGGGGGAGAAAGAGAGAGAAAGAGAGAGAGAGGGAGAGAGAGAGGGGGGGGGAAGAGGAGTGGCAGACCAAGGGAAGATAGAGAGGGAGGGAGAGAGAGACCCTTTTGACATCTAAAATGAAGATAACACTGCATATATCCTTTTTTAACCTGTGTGTGTATGTAATTTTATTCTCTTAAAGCATTCGCTTGGTGATCATTATTTTAATAGTATGGATATTCCCAAGAGTCATATTTTTACTTTTATTTTTAATGTGTATATGTGTATGTGTCTGTGTGTGTGTGTGTGTGTGTACACACACACACACACACACACACACACACACACACACATATATATGTAGGTCTTTGGTTGTTCGGGTCTTTGGTTGTTCGGGTTTTCTATATATATATATATATATATATACACACACACACACACACATACACACACACACACACACATACACACACACACACACCTATAATAAAGGTAAAAAAGGATATATGCAGTGTTATCTTCATTTTAGATATCAAAAGGGTTTTGCGGCTCCCAGTGTTTTGTTTTTGGTGGGAAACGGGTCCAAGTGGCTCTTTGAGTGTTTTGGGTTGCCTACCCCTGTGCTAGGGGAATCATTCAATAACAAAATCATTCATATATATCTCAGGTTACATCAGTAACATTCCCTCACTGTTTCCCACAAATATTATATTATAGTCATGTTAATAAGTTTCTAACTAGGCTCAATCAATCAGTACATTTATCAATAGTATTTTACTTATATATATCCAAGTCCTGTTTAGAGGTTTTATTTAATTCCAATTTATATATTCAAATTTAGCCTTTTATAACCAATGTATAAACTTCTGATAACCTTGATTTCCCTCATTTCATTATAATATAATTAACATAACTAAAATACACATATTATTCCAAAATTTACCTTCTTCATAGACAAATATATTCTAATTCTCTTTCTAATAACTCCTCCTTTAATAACAAAATATCTTTCATTATCACAAATCTATTTCCATTAAAGTTATAGTCTAACAGTTAATTTTAACTCCCATTATAAATCTAAATGTCTAATTCCCACCTCACCTTTTGGGTGACAAAATTGTTGGCTAGGTTGGTTAGGAATCTGTTTGATCTCCTGCTCACTGCAAAGTTTTGTCTCCCAGTTGATATCTGGATAGTTGAAGTTTCCCATTACTACTGTGGTATGCTTCCTACATACATTTGTTAACTGGTTGGCAAAGAGTTCCTTTGTTTCTTTTGATTGGTTGGGTGGCCTGTAATATACACCTATGGCAATGTCACTTTTTTTCTCTTTTACATTAACCCATATACATTCTAGAGAGATTTTATCTTTGATCATGTGCATTTCTGTAGATATGTAGTGTTCTCTTACATATAGTGCAACTCCCTCTCCTCTTTTTGTAGACCTGTTTCTTTTGAACAATTTGTATCCATCCATTAGTCCATTCCATTCATGGATTTCATCCCACCAGTTTTCTATAATGCCAACTATGTCATACCCTCCCTCATGTACTATTCCTTCTAGTTCACCCTGTTTGTTTCCCATGCTTTGAGCATTTCTATATTAGCATTTAAGACTTTTATGCCTGTCTGTGGGTATGTTTCCTGCATCTCTTGATTGTTGTTTGAGGTTTTTCTCTTTTCTCATCACTGCCTACTTCGTTTGATTTGTTTTCTTGGGATTTGTGATTGGTTTTGGGTTCTAGAGATTCTAGAGATTAGTCCCCTTTCCCCCTTGATTTTAGTTTAAAGCCCTCCTGATGAGTTGGGCCAGTCTTTTTCCAAGTACATTTTTCCCTGTTTTCGTGAGGTGCAGCCCATCCCTTGCCAAGAGTCCTTTGTCTTGGTCTCCTCAATCCCAGTTTAACATTTAATGCAACTATCCATACTCCATCTCCTTTATTTCCAAGGAAAGAAGCATCACAGTCCACTCCCTTCCCCCATTACTCATTACCCAGCAATGGAACGTTCCTTTCCACCCTCACTCCATCTTCAAGCTGAAGCCATCCACAAGGAAGGCTACTGTACCCTGGCCAATTCCTGCCCAGCAATAGGGCAGCACAAGCACATCCTCTTGCACATCCTGCCCTGTATCTTCTTCCTCTTCACAACGTGAGAAGGGCAGGAAGAAGAGAAAGAACTTTCCTCCATGAGGAAGTTTGAAAGAGCAGCAAAGTCCACTCAGGCCCTGCAGAATGGATTGATGAATCAAAACGTTGCCTCTCTTGCACTTCCCCAAGGAAGGAGGAAAGCTCATGCTCCTTCACAGGTCCAAAGAGGAATCTCAGATGGTCCCTTGGTCAGGCAGCCACAGCTGAATCCGAAAGAGAAGAGGGTGGAAGAAGATGATCTACTTACCTCTAAATTGGGATTTCGACTCAAGACTACTAAACAAAGTGGCAAAGATACCCCACTTGTAATCTGCAGCCCCAGATACTAAATCCAGCACCAGCTTTCCAAGGAGCTTCTGGGTATTCCCCGGGAGCACATTAGTGGCTAAAGTAAGTGACTTCTCCTGCAAAGTTTTCTTCTCCGTTTTGCATAGTAAGGAGTGGACGGCCCAGATCTGCTCCACTTTGTCAGCTCTAGCTAACAAACTTGCTTAGTTCCAAAAGAGACAACATGGCACATATTACAGCTTTGAGAGATCCAGCTGGTAGGCTAACTGAAGGAGATCTGAGATACCTGTACAAGGTGTGTCAATTATAGTTCTAGTCCTTTCATTTGATAGGTGCTTATAATCAAGTGCAGTGTTAGCAAATAAAAACAGCTTTACGATATAAACTAGTATCAGCAAGAAAACCATATAATAACCAATGTAAAACATTTCCTACCAGTCCAAGGGTCAATAGCCAGTTCTTCCCTGACCACCACGTCAGTATCGTGGCCATTGGAATTAAAATGGAAATGTTCCCTTCTCTTCCTGGGGAATAACTTCCAGAATGGCATTCTGCTGGAGGAGAGGGGTAAAGGCCAGGAAGCAGATTCCCTCACCCAAAGTCAGCCTTGCCTTTCACCCTTCCTTAGGAGGGACAGTGTTTGATGAAATGGTGCTACCACACTATTCATATATGAGTTTGTTTTAAATATCATGCTCCTGATCAGCAGGTCAGGCCCCTCCCACTTTCTGCTTTGTGAGGTAGGTATGATGTTTCCAGTTGTAACAAATGAAGGCCACCACATTATCTCTGGATTAGCAAGTCACATACAAGGTCACAGCTATACCAAATTTTAGCTTCAAAATGGGGAAACGGCCATTCAGCATATTTAAAATAACATGCCAGCTTCCTTATGACTGTTTGGATAATGTATATATTCAATCTTTGCCTTATACAGTAAGATAGTAATATACATGTAGCTAAGGAAATGAATGAATGGTGTTATGCCTGCCTTTGAACTATAAATTCTGTAACCCTTTTAATCCTATTATCTGTCCTGCAGGGCAGGCAGGTCCTATAATATTTTACCTGATATATACCTTTTCTCTTTATTGGTTAGCCTCCTTTATTCATTGGGCATGGAATCATTATTTCACAATAATGTAGGTTTTTTTTTGCTATATACTAAAATCATAAGAGCTAAGATAAAAACAGTTCATCTAATTCTGTGTCCCATTTCCTCTTGGGGGGGGGGAAAGGAAGGAAGGAAGGAAGGAAGGAAGGAAGGAAGGAAGGAAGGAAGGAAGGAAGGAAGGAAGGAAGGAAGGTAGGTCTCAAAGTGTGGAAACACTATTCTTCTTACTTTCTCTGTCCAAATAACGTGGATATTATGATCCCATAAATCTGGAGGGTAGTAAGCTGGAGAAGGATGTTACATCAGTATCTATTGGACCCTAATTCCCACTTGTAAGCAAATAAATACTTGTAAGTAGGCCAATGCATGTATGTGTGTGTGTCTCCAACGTGAACACATGTGTGTTTCTCACCAACTTCTCTATTTCCTTATCTCTTTTTGTCAGCAAACTCTGCTGATTTAAGCCTTTTTCATGAGGACAAAAGTATCCATTTCGGTCACTCTGGTGGAAAACTCACTGCCAAAGCATCAACAATTGAATAATAGTTTATAAAGCCAGCAGGTTACAGTGAATCCCTGGTCTCTTGCAGAGGCACCAAGAGGAAGGGCCAGAAAATTATATAGGTCTTATATGTAGTTGATCAAAAACTGTTTAAATATGAACTAGCACAAAACCTCAAGTACAAATGGAATTGCTTTATAATTGATTTAGAAATAAGAGAACCAGAAAGGAGCTCAGGCACAAAACTCTTCATAATGTAAAATAATTAAAGGCACATTCCTGAAAAGGAAAGAGATTAATACTTTTGATATGTGAGTTAATTTCTGACAGATTGACCCCCCACCCCATAGAAGAAAAAAAGGACATATAGGAGCTTATATTCTTGAGACCTGTCTCCTTACAAGGCAGATATTCTCTGATCAGGTAGCCCTTACTAGGGACTGATTTACATAATAATAAAAATAGCATTTTTAACGCATATTAAATGAGAGGTATAGCAAAGGGCATTAAAGAAACATATACAATACAGAGTATTATAAGCAAACAAAACTTGACTCTGTACTGATTCATCTTGAGTTCAACCGCCATCATTCATACAACTTTACACTTTGGCTATGAAATAATACGTTTGGCAGATAACCTTGAAAATCCTACCCTTTGTTTCAAAGAGGGTAAACTCGAATTACTTGAACGATTCTGGCTGCTCCCTGAACGTTTTTATATATTTGTAAATGTTTAAACCACTCATTTGTCAAATGTCATCCTGTTCCTTCTACCTTGCCCAACAAGATTCTCCCTGGCTTATTTTAACTCGTTAAAAAAAAGGAAAAAAAATAAAGTAAAAGTTATCTTAAAGTAGAAGCAGAAAAGTGCTATTTAATTAATAATAATAATGTCTGCTCTGCAACTCATTTTGAAATAGGAAAGTCTAGGTTTCTAGCCATTTAATTTGATAGCAATTTGTATGAAATTTGGTCTAGCCCAGGGGTACACAACCTTGGCTCTTTTATGACTCATGGACTTCAACTATGCTGACTCAGGAATTCTGGGAGTTGAAGTCCATGAGTCATAAAAGAGCCGAGGTTGCCTACCCCTGGTCTAGCCCTATCATTGGCCAAAGACAGGATGGGATCAAGCATACTGTTAAGTATGAATACAGTACGGATTAACATCCTCGTCTCATAATTCTAAAATAGCAATGAAAGGTGTGGTCCCATTGCAGCTGTCAAAACAAGCCTCAATGGCCAAGCCGGAAAACTCCAGCCAATTTAATGATGGGAGAATTACTAGCCTCATATGTCTGGCAACCAAAATGCCGTAAGCTATGCTGAGCTGATTTATGTGGCAAAGGTTGAAGGAAAAAGAACAACCAATAGCTAAATGGGTGGACTCAGTTACAGTAGTGATGATTGCACTGTAGATCTGAAAGACCAAATTAGGGATAAATCACCAAGGAGAAAATTTATGTGGCCACTAAAGAGCTGACACCAGCTTGATGGCACATATTAATCAATGTGTCTTGTTGCTATGAATTCATAGGCTGCAGTGGAGAAATACAGAGCTCCACATACTGCAAGCATGTACCAAGAACCTTTACAAAAATACTAACTAGGCTTCCAATATGTCCAAGATTCTGCTAGATTCAAGGCAAGAAGAGGAGAGGAACCAGTGTTATTCTTCATTCTGTTCTGGATTACAGTGTAAAGTTTACTAACTACAAAAGTAAATTCTCTCCCTACATATATAAAACAACAACTTGATGATAAGCGATGTCATTCTGGTCCAAAGTGAGTTCCCTGATCAAACAAGGTCTTGAATGATTCACATCCAGTACCATTGGGTCTCAAAATTATCTACTGTATTTCCTTCCTTTTATGAAATAATTTAGACCAGCTACGAATGATACCTTTCTGAGGAGTGGGGACATTACTGAAAAATAAGTAGCATTGGCTCTAGCCTTTTCCAAACCATCCATACAACATATCACCTTGAACCACCCTGTTCTGAAGTTAGGGAGAGAATATATGGAAATTTCCGTTCAGTTTAGAAGTGGGGATCTTTCCAGGGCAGGAAAATGAGATTACCATAAGGTTTTGTAATCTCCTTGAATACCTCTTGCAGAACTACTTGTGAAATCACCATGAGATTATAAATTGCTTAAGGTAACTGTGTCTGATAAGCCAATTACGCCATCTGCTTATAGGACTGTCCTCTTTTTCCCCTACTTTCAGTGTATTTTTTGTAAGATATTTGTGATTTGATCTTTGTGATTTGTATTGTATGAAACACCGTTTCAGTCTCTCATATTGTAACCTTTATTCTCAAATATCCTTGTCCATTAGTCACCCTGGAAGAGCTATACCTGAGATGCCTTAGTTCTTTCAAAGGATGTTTGTGAAACACCTCCTTGTGAAACAGAAGAATAAAGGTGCTACATCAGGAGCACCAGTTCCCAAGTTTTGTTCTTGATCTCACTACAAGGACTATTTAGATGTGCACTCTGACTCCCACAGTAACCCATAACAATTTGTGTAGGAGCCACGTTGTTTGGGTGTGCCATGACATGCCATCATGTTCTGGACTAGCTGAAGCTACTTAGTGATCTTCAGAGATAGTGCCATGTACAGCATAATAGTAGTCCAGATGTGAAATGATCAAGCCATGTATGACCATGAGAAGGGACGTCTGGTCCAGGAATGAGGGCAATTTTCATAGACAAGAAAAGTCTATGTGAAGGCCTTCCTTGACCTGCCACCTGCTCTTTGAGCAGAAGCTGAGAGTCAAAAAACACTCCCAAATTGGAGAAGTGCATATACATTAAAAATGGGAAAGTGTCTGGGCCAGAAGGTCCATAGCTAATTGGTTTTGCTAACTTAAATCTGTTTTCTCCTCCACCCTTGACCTGAACTGTCTCCAACCATTAGGACAAGAACTTGATAGCATCACTTGTTGACCAGAGCCAAAATATACGACTACCATCATCATTTGAAGAAGTTGATATTTGATTCCACACCAACAGATTATCTCACCCAATGATGTATGTAGCTCATAGGTTCCTAGCGTTTGGGCACCAGGGACCGGTTCCGTGGAGAGAGATTTTTCCGCAGACCGGAGGGGGCATGGTTTCATGTGCTGCCTGCATCCCGTGGATGGGGCTTTGCTTGTTTGTGTGGACCAGTTTCTGACATACTGTGGCCCGGTGCCGGGCCATGGACCAGGGGTTGGGGGATCCCTGATGTAGATGTTAAGCAGTAGGGATGAAAGTATTGACGTCTGTGGCATCCTGTAAATCTGGGGCTTTGGGCTCAGTTCTCCCCTTTTGTTAAAACCGACCACAGAGAAATGAGATCTACTTCAACACTATGTCCTCTACTCCCAATCCTCCCCCACCCCGAAGCATAAGATAACTGATAGCACTGAAAATTGCAAGTAACTTCCATCCTAGCTCCACCAAGGGTCAAACAGAAATGTGATTAATGTGTCTTAGTGCTACTTTTTAAGTGTCTTGAACAATACCCAAATGAAGTCTCCAGATGCCCTCTGAAGCTGTAATTTGACAAACCTCTCAACAATCTTTATTACTAGGGATATAGTTGAAGGCTGGAGGAGAATTCTCCAGGACTATTCAGTTCATAGAATGATCTTGAAGAGGGAACACATCACCAGGTAGGTAGAAGCTCCCCTCTCAGAGGAAATATATAGACTCCGAGGAAGATATGGGTGGGGTGTCTGTGGCTTCGGAGGACTGTAGGGAGGAGCAGGGTGAGGCAGGCCAGGGCCCTTCAGGTTTGGAACAGGGAAGGCAGAGTTCAGACAAGGAGCAAGGCCCCCCCCCACCTGATCCTAGAGCAAGGAGAGCAGAGAGGAGGAGAGAACAATGGAGGTAGGCTCACTTGCTCGGGAGGAGAGCATCCTGTCCCACTCCACAAGGCACACCTGGGGATTAGGATTTAAGGAGACGCTGTGGGGTGGGGCATTTGCCGGGAACAAACATGGAATCTTGAGATAGTGTGATTTGTGCTCTTGTAACCTGGACACTTTGTATTCTGGACCAGTTTGTTTCCTGCTGCACGACCACAGACGATATTCTTGATCTCTCCTTGCAGTCTGCAGTTTGCAGGCAAGCTGAGAGTTAAAAGGACTTTTTACGTTTTCTTGTTATCTGTCTTGCCTTGAACAGTGTAAACTTCCCTGGCTGTTTGTTTGAACTCATGCCAGCATATGTGGGGGCTTTTGGGTGAACATTGGCACTGATTAAAAAGACTATTGCTCTTGCCAGCTGATTGCTTTGCCTGCGCTTGGGGCCCTGGGTCATTACACCTGTGGGGGCCAGGCAGGGTTGGGGGAGATCCAATGGGTCTCTGGCAGGTGGGACGGTGGGCAGGAGGCTTGTCCTGCGGGGTGAGGCAAGGCAAGGCGAGGCAGGGCAGGGTTGCCATTGCCGCAGGGCAAGGCGGGGAAGGAACCAGGGCGGCTGCTGCCTGACACCGTCGGCCCCTGCACAGAGGCCAGCGAACGCATGGGAGCCAACGGTGTCCGGCAGCAGCCACAGCCTGCTGGCCCCCCGATTGACGCACTCTGGGCCTCCGCAGCCCGCTGTCAGCAGTTCAGAGAAGCATAGATGCAGTGGGTCGCGCCCAGGAAAAGGAGAGCATGCAAGGCCAGGAGGGATGGGACAGGGGGGAGGGAAACCAGCCATGCTGGGATGCATTTGGCCATGTGGGATCTCGGCGAGTTAGTGGGCAGCTGGTTGAAGAGGGACGGTTGCCATCTCCGGGACATGGTGCGCGTGCCCACAGAGAGGGCTCTGAGTGCCGCCTCTGGCACGCATGCCATAGGTTCGCCACCACTGCTCTAGAGCAAAACCACAGCATTCTCAATGCTATTTCTACTTTTGCCTATTCATTGATGCCTGGCTATCTTGAGTTATGTAATCACATATTTTACATCTTCAAACAATCCCACTTCCTTCCGTTATCCCTGAACCATTGGAGCGAGCTGTTGACACAATTCCAGTTCTACTTTGCAATGCCCATCCCCTAGTACAGTAGGCTAATCTCCAGATCTAGCAATTATTCAGACAGTCCAACCGGTAATCTCATCTGCTAACAAATATATGTGCATAAATCTTCTGGAATTATTTTATTTGGCAGAGACATATGTGCAGGCAGATTTATGTCTGGATAGACACAGGGTTTAAACCAATTATATATCTATTTTTTTGCTTGACCTCTTTTCTGTTGCCCGGGCTCCTCACTGACTTATCTCAGGTCATTGTTCCCTATTGGAATGCTGCTGCCCCCATGGGAACACCAACACTCATAAGTACAGCTACTTACAATTTCTGGAGTTATGAAAATTTAAAAACCAAGTGTGGCTGCCCCCTGTCTTTCCTCTCACTAACCCACTTTCTTGGTTTATCACTTTCCACTTGTTTTGATCCCTGGGCAGACAGACACGCTTGCAGAACAGAGCATGAGGCTACAGTCAAGTAGCCATTTTTATTTCTACAAATGTCTAGGGGGTTGGTAAGGTTTGATGACTTTCTTGAAAATCAGTGGAAAGCTAGTTTTCCACTTTTTTAATTATCTTAAAAATAACTTTGCAAAAAACCCAAGTCAGGTGGCATAAAGAACTTGGGTGGCATTGAGTAAAAATACCTTGGAAGTTCCTGGATGCTTTTGGAGACCATATAAAGGAATAGATTGCCTATTCTGCTAAACTTAAGACAAGACCATTCCTTTGCCTTAATCATTGGTGTCACAATTAGTGGTTCTTTTTGCTTACTGAATAGCAAAAGAATCAGTTCCTTTCCTATCAAGATCTTCTACAAAAATAACCTTCACTGAAATTCCATAACGCAGCATTTATTGTACCAGCTCCCCCCCCCAAAAAAAATTAGAATGATCACCAATCCCTACAGCATACGCTTGTATCGATGTGATGCTTTGTTTTATAAGAAGTAAAGAGAAGCCACCCTATTTATTTTAATAGAAAGATGACTTGATGCTCTGCTCAGAGCACTTCTATAGCCAATACTATCCATTCAGAGTCACATAAGCAAAACACCAAACTCTAGTTGGGTTCATCTGGATTTATTGATAGAAAAATGAACTGTGATTTGTCCTGGTTGTGTCAAGGAAGGCGACACTATTTCTTCAGCCTTGCTGCTTCCCTTGGGCTACAATTTCTCACCTCCAGTCATCCATGCAGCAGCCCAGACTATTCAATCACATTGGAAATAAATCACAAATTTCAGCTGGCTTCACTTCTTGAGACTTCACAGAAGGAACAGCCAGTCCCGTATCTCAATGGATCTTTGTTACAAAGGAAGCATTTTTAGTGCAGTTCACATACTCCTATGTCTAAGGCCCTTTAGTATGTGAAACAATGTGGATAGGAAGATCAGCCTACAATAGCTTTTCTCCCAACCCTCCACCACATTTCTTTGCTGATTCAGTACACACAGGATGTGTCCTAACTTTCTGCTCCAGAATGAAGATAAGTCAAGGGACAACCTGTACACTGAAGCAGATTTGCTCACAACTCAAAACATTCAGACCTAAAGAAAAATAAACTGTTGGGAGGAGGTCAACACAGCACAAGGAAAGAGTGTCCTCTCCTCTAATGTTTCAAGGCACACAGGTGAGACATAGAAACATGAGATTCTTTCAATTTATGAAGGCTTTAGAAACAGAAGGGCACCAGTTTTAGCTCTCCAACTTGATTCATACTTGAGGTGAATCGGTGGGAATTTTTTGTATGGGGCTCCTCTCTTTCATTCTCTTTTGTGCGTGTCTTTAATCATTTTGAAGCCAAGATTTGGGCACCGATGCTGAGGCCAATAGTTTGAAAAAGGAGGAAGCCTGGAACCTGAAGAAATGCCACTGTCTCCATTTGAGGCAGTCTACAGAAGCCATTAAAGTGCGGGAGGAAATGTCGCAGTGGTTGCCCTAAAAGCAATAGCTCTAAAGGAGACAATTCACAGCTCTGAATGGTGCTCACCTTGGACTTGCCAGTGTCTTGTGCACATTCAACTGAGATTCTAGCAACAAAACACATTGGTCCTCCTGATGCACATGAGGGAAACGGTGCCTGCCAAATCCTGCAAAGGAACTTCCACGAATGCCAGAGTTCTGAAGATTGGCAAAAGATCAGAAGTCTAAATCGTCTGATTCAGTCCCACCAGTACTAGGGAGCTCTTCCTGGTTGCGCCCCCACACAAAACGGTAGTTGTCTTCCAGTTGGCGTTGCCGTCGTTGCTCTTTATGTGCTTCCTCTGTGCCCTGGATCTAAGAAGCAAATACCAAAGCAATCAAACAGACAGACAGACAGACAGACCCACCGTATAAGGCAAACTTTTGGGCAAAGCTCTCTGCTGCTCTAAGAGGAAAAATCTAAAGGCATGGGGCTCTTTCCCTTTCTTCCTCAAAGGGGCTTAGAAATGCTGCCAGTATTTCACTGGGATTAATTTATAGTAACATACTGAAATGCACGGGAACACTCCAATTCCATTTTAAAATCTGATCTGGTTTTTCACCGTTGCCACCTTCGAGAGTGTTCCAGAATTCACCAACTGGCTCTCTCTGCCAACAAGCAAGAAGTGGAATGCAACATTACACAAAAAGAATCCTTCTCAAATGATGAGATCTCTCCCTTTCTTGCTTGCTGTCCTACCCTTGCCCCTCAAACTTGGAGGACTTTCTTGAGAAACTCCTGGTCAGAGTTGTGCTTCACTGCCACAACGCACACAAAATGCTGCTCTTCCAATGAAATCACTAGAGCCAGCCTCCTAGCTTTTTATGCTCTAAGTAACATTTCCCCCCATTATATCAGCGCTGATGTCAGCCCTTACCAAAATATTGAAGAAAATGTCTTTGAGGTTCTTGGTGTCTTCTTCTGAGAGCCAATGGGTGTCATCGTCATCTCCAAAACCACCAGTTGTCACAATCTTGATTTCAATTTTACCTGTCAATCATAGGGAATCAAACATTAATGACAGCCCCAAGAGCCTTGCAATAATCGCCTTTAATTTATTGCCCTCTTACTATTAGGAAAAACAGGGCAGCTCCTAAATAAGAAAAGCAATATCATGCAAAAGATAAAGCTACTAGAACAGGGCTTTTCAACCAGTGGTACGGGTACCACCTGTGGTACATTGGCACCTGGCAGGTGGTATGCGACCATCTTAGAAAAGTGGTAGCGGGGGAGGGGAATGAGCTGAACCGGTGGCAGCACCGCACAAGCCTGAGTGAGAGATGGCTGTAGCTGCAGGGCTCAGCGCAAGCGCCAGGATCAGTGCCAGGCTCCAGCTGGAACTCAGCGCTGATCCTGGCGCTTCTGCTGACCCCAGAAGAAGCGCCAATCAGGGTCTTGTGATTTACATTCAGATGCTTGGCAACCGATTCATAGTTATGACGGTCACAGTGTCCCAGGGTCATGTGAAGTGACCAAAACCTGCTGCAACCACCCAGCAGACGGGGGGGAATAAAAACCAAACACCCCCCACCCCACCCCTGCTGTCAAACCAGCCGGGCAGGCAGGTGTCTTGCTCAGCTGTGGCTTCGGAGGCACTTAGTGACTGTTGGAAGTTACAGTGCCATTGTAACTTCCAACAGTCACTAAGCGAACTGTTGTAAGTCGAGGACTACCTGTACTTCATCACT